ACTCCGCCAAATATCACGTGAATATATTAAAAATTAATGATTACTAATCATCGGCGAAGCATATTCCCACATATTTTATAGAACATCCCAGATTTCTTTAAGAGGCCTACTATTCCAAGAGGCGCGGTTATCTTGCAGTTATGCACCTTATCTGTAAATAAGAAATCTCTAATTTTGAAAGTTAGAATCATTGTTTGAGGCTTTAGTTGATAATAATAATTTAGGTTGAAGTCATTAAGAAGCTTTGACTTGTTATACATAGAAATTTGAAAAAATATAGATTATTCGCAGGGTATGGTAATAAAGGTTTAAATTTCACTCGTTATTTAATGATGCGTCTAACATCTAGTAATACTGTAATTAGACATCTAATATACTGTATATATATTGTTTTAAAATATAATGTTATATTAAAAACTATCTCTATAAACCTTTTAAGGGGTCTAGCTGTTATAGTTAGCACTAGCAAAAGTTAATAAAAACATATTTTATTTATTAAAATTATATTTAATTTGTAATTTATTAGTTTAGTTTATGCTACATATTATTATTATTAACTAAAAATTCGTTAATCAATGGGGTGAGAAGTTTCTGATCAAACTGGCCGGTAACAAAATCCCAACAAACAGAATTCTGACAAAAAAAATAGCCAATGTTAACCTAATGTGGGTTAACATGTCGAAGTTTTGACCTTGCCAGGATTTTGACCCAAATCCAATAAGAATTTTAATGAATTTAAAAATCATTAAACACTTTGAAGAATTTATAACGTCAAGAATAGTTATCATTATAAAATGAAAGGCAATGTCTTCACCCAAAAATGGACTTATCAGATCAATCTTCTCCAAAAAAAAATAAAATAAAATAAAAAAATACCACTCAAAATAAAAGCAATATACAGTATCATCTCTAAAAATTTCCATAGAAATAACAAAATATAATCTTTAAAAATACCCTGCTAACCAACAAAACCCGGCCGTGCTCGCGATTCTGGAGATTTCGTTGCACCTTATAGCCAATATTTAGGTCAGAAATAAATTGATTCGCAAAGAACCTTTTTTTACCATATATACCTTTAATTTTTGCTTCTGAAGATGGCTACATTCCTATTTCTGGTTACCTTGGCTTCTAAACTTCAGTAAATCAATAAACGTGAACATAAACGCCCACTACATAAAACCTCTTTATTTATTATTTGAACGACTCTGCACGTGATAATAACCTTGAATCACGAAAAACAGATATTCTCATGAGACCTTGAATTATGCGATTACAGTATATCGACATTAACGTAATGACTTTTTTTTTAAAATTTTTTTAAATTCAATATTTTCAATACATAAACTTATATTTAAAATTTCCATGAAATCCGAAATTATGGTTCACATAATTTGAAAACAATAGTAAAAAAATACACTGTAGCTATTATTATAGAAATTTATACCCATTTAAATCCAATAATAGCATCACAGAAGAACAGTTAGACTACGTGATTACACCCTGTCGTAAAAGTGGTTGTAATCAAATGAATTAATAAGGAAATTCAGCCAGGGATTGTAAATCAAATAAGTTATAATTATTGTAGAATACGTTATGCGAAGAGTTATTTTGCATTTCATAAGGAACAGGAATGCTATTAATATTGTTGGGGTTAATGAAGAATTCAGACGTCAACGATCCCTCAAACAAAGGAATTATTGGTGAATAAATAGTTGTTGATTCTTCGGGCGAAGGAATAAATGGTGATTCCTCAGACGAAGGAATAAATGGTGATTCCTCAGACGAAGGAATAATTGTTGAACACCCAGACGAAGGAATAATTGGTGAACAAATAATTGTTGATTCTTCGGGAGAAAGAATAAATGGTGGTTCTTCAGGTGATGTCATGCTCTGTTCGGACGGAAA